TATTCAGCATGTGAAATGAAAAATTTATGAGGTTATAAAATCATCATTACAGTGTGATAAATATTTCATATAAAAAAATCTTCTATACACATAATAAAGAATAAGCAATCAAATCGTTATATGCATACTGACATACATGTATTTTATTTCCTTCAGTATACATGTATACATTTAATAATTCTACAAATTCAGTCAGGGGGAGCCGACTTTTTCCCTAAGCGGGGGACACGAATTCTCTGAATTAGCTTGTTGTGTTGTTTTTCCCTAGCCAGAACTCAAATAAGCTATGTGCCCAATCCACTGGGCTTCTTGTTTAGGCTTCTGCTTCTGAAGAAAATTAAGGTGCCATTGCATGAGCCATTGCACAAATCTGCCTAAAGTCAATGCAAACAGAAGGAGACTCTCTCAAGGACAAATACAGACATTAAGAAACTCTTAATCAAGAAGCATTGCATGCATTAGGAAACTCTAACTCGAGGGGTTTTGCATGCATAAAAAATCCCCACACACACTTAAGGGCTATTGCATTGATTAACAAACTCCCACTCAAAGGATTTTGCATGCCTATAGAACACCACTCAAGGGCTATTGCAAACATTAAGAGACCCCCACTCAAAAGTTTTTGGATGCATTAAGAAACATCCATTCAAGGGTCTTCACGTGCTTTAAGAGACACCCATTCAAAGACCATTGCATGAAACATATGGAGATAACGAACAGTATTCAAGACCAAACGTCAAGAAAACAATACAAAATAGGAACAGAGCAAACACAGACCTCCAAAACATCGGAGGGAGGTGGGATCAAGTGCCATGAAGGAGTGAGCATCCCCTGCCGACCGGTGACACCCACTGTGTGCTCTTTATCATGATCGGGAAAAAACGGAAAAGTCCATCATCAATTCAGTGTATTAGTAATAGACTAACAACTAGTATGAAAAACGTCAGTCAGCATTTGACTCAATGATAATATTCTGACAAGGTCATTGTATCGACCATAGAACTTACAAAATGATGAGTTAACACGAAACTGCTGCAATTTTTGTTTAAACAACTTGTTTGTCAATAATTTACCTCGTTTTAGAAATTGTTCATACGTAGAGTATGTTCCTGCGTATCGAATCAATTGAGATATATCCGTATCCAGGTGACGAAAGCATAACTGTTATAGCTGCATAAGTAAGTGAAGTTGACGTTTTAAAGAAATTCCAGTTCAAGGGCCTACTTCCGACTATTTCAAGAGCCAGTGTAGACATTGAGAGAATCTTTAAAGAGCCAATGTTCTAGATCCCTGCTCAATATCCCAGAATGCAAAGTGTAGGAAAAAATTGCAGCTTTCCAGTGACAAGTGGTGGCGTCTCCATATGAGTGAAAAGTTCGAGAGGGAAGTTAAACCCACAGGTACTTGTGGACTGGACCCCCCCCCCTCCTAAATATTCAACCCCGGGGCGTGTTGGATATTTTTGTCAAAAATTTTATTTATTAACCTTTTTCATCATCATTACAATAGAAAAAAATCGATGAAACCCCAATATGATCTCTACAAAAAACTAGAGGTACTGTGAGCAATGAGCTCATGAAATGATACCCCCCGCTTCCCATATGGTTATAACTGATGACAAAGTCCATGATTTGCTGTGGCCGGGAAACCAAAAACATGTGTCGGATCAAAAATTAAAATAGAAGATGTACAATGACAATATGTAATAAAGATTTTGTGAAAGTTTCATTAAATTTCACTCCGTGGTATAAGAGGAGTTGCGGATAAGAGATGAGTACCCTAAGCCGTAACAGACGGACGGGCGGACGGACGTACAGACATACCGATTACAGTATACCCTCCCACTTTTCAAGCGCGGGGTATAAAAACCCACTAATTCTCTCGTCGCCCGCGTGGCGCAGTGGTTAGAGCGTCTGCTCTAGAGTCGCGAAGTAAGGAGTCAATCCTTACGTCGCGGGTTCGAATCCCACTGTGGGACGTGGAGACTGGTCCTTCGGATGAGACCATTTAAACCGAGGTCCCGTTCCGCAGTAGGTGCTGGCACAAAAAAAGATCCCTCCCTGCTCAATGGCCGCCCTAAGTGCCGAGTATGGGACAAAATTTGTAAATAGCCATCCACCGGCAAGTGGTGGCGTCTCCCATATGAGTGAAGATTCTCGAGAGGGACGTTAAACAATATACAATCAATCATACAAACTTATAAAGTATAGTATGTTTTTTGTGTAGCGATTATTTTGGAGATTCACGTTTATTTCTATTGTACTTATGATGAATACGTGTAATAAATATAATTTGTGAAAAAAATATCAAACAAGCCCCGGGGTTGAATATTTAAGGGGGGGGGGGGGGGGTTCCTGTCCACAAGTACCTGTGGTTTATGCATCCCTTCCAAACTTAAATTTAGGCTTTGTCAGACAATTAAATTCAATGCATATATTTTGAGAAATCATTTTTATGATATTGATCCTTTTCCATGTTTTACGTTTTGACCGTTTGTACATTGCAGCATGTATGCATGATTTAGCTAATATCAAAGTTGCATCTACGAGCTAGGACAAAAACATTGCAAAACATGTCAGACTAGGCATAACATATGCATTAACTAAAAGGTTAAGAAGTTTTCCCCCCAGAAATTCAGTCTCGTGATTTTGAAATCTCAATGCTGAAGATCATAGCCACTTAGTAGTTGTTTACTTAGTATTTTTAACAATGAACAAGATGTGTTTGTGAAACACTATTCGCCCGGTGGCAACAAAAATCGAAAAAGCTATTTCTAGCATACTAGCATAGGTAACAGTCAAGGTCACAAGGTCATTGACCTTGGTGACATTTGAAAGACCTTGATTAGTGAAGTATGCACACCAAATATGAAGTCTCTATCTTTCATGGTTCAAAAGTTATAGTGAAAGGTACGAAAAAGCTATTTTTAGCATATAGGTCACAGTCAAGGTCACCAGGTCATTGACCTTGGTGTCATTTGAAAGAACTTTATTAGTGTAGTATGCATACTTAATATGAAGTCTCTATCTTTCATGGTTCAAAAGTTATGGCGAAGGTTAAAGTTTGCAGGCAGAAAAGCTATTCTTAGCCTATAGGTCACATTCAAGGTCACAAGGTCATTAATATTGGTGTCATTTGAAAGCACCTTATTAGTGAAGTATGCATACCAAATATGAAGTTTCTACCTTTCTTGGTTCAAAAGTTATGGCAAAGGTTAAAGTTTGGGGACAAACAAACAAACAAACAAACAAACAGACAGACAGACAGGACAAAAACAATATACGCCTCTGATCTATCGATCCGGGCGCATAAAAATGAACATCATTTTAAGTGTACATTTTCATATTTTTGACTTGCAAAATTGATTTTGGATCCATCTGCAATATGATTTAACAAATAAGACGGTGCACTAGTAATGAAGTAAGGAGTTTATCCTTACGTTGCGGGTTCGAATCCGACTGTGCATGGGACATTGATAATGGTGATTAATTATTAAAGACAGTGAAAAGTATCGAGAGAAGACTGGACTCAAGTATGTCTTTGCATAAAGGAGGGGGCTCCAATTCCACATCGGAATGTGGAAACTGGTCCTAAATTTACTTTCCCCAACACTATGATCCATCATATGATGTTTATGCTTTCAAAGACTATACTCTAAGACTATAATTTAAACCAATATACAAGGAAGAATTGTAATTAAAACAACAAGGAAGAATTGGTCACGTTAAATTAATTTTTTGAAGAATTTTATGCAGCGCAAAATATACATAAGTTTGACAGTTTTCGGGGGATGTATTGATTTAATGCAAATTCCTCCGCCAATCACACCTGAGGTTTGCACAGAGCGTAGCGGACTCAGCCGAGGATTGCCAATTGGGAGGCATGTCGATATGGGTGAAAAATAAACGTCCAACAAATAAACATATGGGATAGGTTAAATACAACGGCAGTTAGACTCACTTTAATAAAGATTCATGTTCGCCAATGGAACTTCTCCATGCTCATTTTTGGGGAGAAGGAGGGGGACATTTCAGGGTTTTTTTTTTTTCACTGTAGGAATTAAATCATCTAAGAGTCATTTCCAGCTGCACGGTCTCTTTCGCTCTTCTGTTCAACACATTTATAAAAACAAATCAGAAAGCTGTTCCATGTTTAATAAATAGCTGTACATGAATAACATTATATGCAAAAACAAAATTGATACAATTTTATTTTAACACAAAGTTCTGACTATATATCAGAGCACTAAGTTTTTTGGTGAAAAGTGTTCAAATACCAAAGGTACATACATACTAGTAAACTCAATGAATACTTTCTTTTTTCGTGTTTGTTGAATGGAATGTTGAATTTAAAAAAATCAAGGAATGGTAACAATGTTTAGCAGTATTACATGCAACTTTTAAACTCTCGTACAAAATACCCGTCAATTAAGAGTAGCAGTTTTTTTACAACATGTATAAGCAACCATGATATTTACTACATAGTACATGTATTTTAGAACACTCAAAAGCAAGGTGGGACTTTAGATACGAGAAAAATTCTTTGCAACCTTGCTTATACCGGTAATTATCGAATTTCCATGGCACCATATGCAGCAAGTCATATACATGTATATACATACATTTTATCATACGCCTCATACAATTCAAAAGCACTCTGAATTTTCTGAAGAAAAAATACACATACTTTGAATAAAGTATTGGTTATTTCCCTTGCATCACAAAAGCAATTCGATATAAATCGCAATTCATCAGTTTTGCGAACAAGTGGTTTCGACAGCTCTTCGGGAACTTAAGCAATATGAAAAGGGAAAACATGTACATTTCTGAAGAATTTCTCTAGTATTTTAATTTCTTTCTAAAAATAAATAAAACAAATACTGGTATTTCGATCTGTATTCTAAATAATTCACGAATTCAACATTCTTATACCCCAGGTCTAAAAGTTAGTAAATGAGCTAAAAATTAATCACTTTTTAACTTGACTGTCATATGATAATTACACAATTAGCAAAAAGTCAAATAATTATTACCATAATATCATTAATCTTTTCATAAAACAGTAGATATTTCAAAGTTACACCAAATATACCACTGTAACAGTTCTTAACCAAACTGAAACTGAACACACTATTACAAGGGCAGTCATATGAATGTACATGGTACATAGTTTTGAGGCATCTATCACTGTCTAGATTCACTTATCTTAATATTGTAAAATATCTGCCTAATACCTAAAATTATATAAAATCACAAAAAGAAAGTTAAAAATATTACATTCCTATTATTTTCCTTTTGAAAAAGAAATTCAAAACAATTCATTTCATTCAATTTTATCTTTTCAATAAAATTAATTTTTTTTTTTTATCAAAAACCTCTTGATTGTCACCTTAAAAAATATTTATTCAGGTGCAATAATTCAACGAAACTGTGTTCCACAGTGGAAAAAAAAAAGAATTACATGTACTTTGAAAAGAGCAATGAATTATTTTCTTTAATGCTTGCCCACTGGCAAGTGTGTCTGCAATATTAGCTTGCCCATTTACCCAGTTGTATAAACCTACAGAATCTGTCAGCCCTTGGTAAAAAAAAATCAATAACATCACCACAGTACTCAATGCCCCCCTCCCCGTTTCTAATGTATACATTGTAGTTATTGCACTCAGATTTTTTTATCAGATGTTACAGCTTAATTTTGTTCAGCAAGACCTTGGCCTTTACTGCAGGTATTTGTAGATTTTGAAGCAGTGGTTTCCCGAGTCTGCCACAGCGACGTACCCCTCACCGGTCACCGCCAATCCCTGGGGTCCATACAGAGGGTCCGCCGCGGTGTTCACAAAAGACAGGAAGGAACCATTACTGTCAAAGACCTGTCAATGTATGTAAAATGCACATCAAACAATCTACAAGTACATAATAATCTCTTTAAATAAAACTTTTATTCTTTGATACAGTCAATTCACAGGCAAACACAAGACATAGTCATATCTTTTTTACTTTGAGTTTTATCCAATAAATTTCATTGCTTTTTATAACAGAAGTATGAGAATATTCAACTCAATGATATGAAGTTTCTGACAATAAAAGGTACCTGTATTCTGGAGTTCCCCCAGTCTGCCACCAGTATATTTCCTTTCTGATCCACAGATACCCCTGTTGGTGCATTGAACTGGCCATTGCCCTCACCATTGGAACCGAAGGTAAACAGGAAATTCCCCTCACTGTCAAACACTTTGATGCAGTGGTTGTGGAAATCTGAGACAATGATGTCATTGTTGGCATTGATGGCAACATAATGTGGACCAGCAAACTGCCAGTCTCGATTGCCTCTGGAGCCGAATTTGGAGATGAGTTTACCATTGGGTTGGAAAATGAAGATGGTGCTACCCTTGTTGTCCACAACAATGATGTGGCCATTCTTGTCCACTGCCACTCCTTTGGGTCCCAGAAGTTTTCCTGTGCCAATCTTGTTCATATACTTTCCTTCAGGGGAAAATACACTGATCCATTTGTTGTCATAGTCAGCAATTAGATAGTTTCCATTGAGAGTGGAGGCAACTCCAGTGGGTCTTTGCATTCTTCCTGCAACTCTACCTGGGGATCCAAATTTCAGCTTGCAATCTCCATTGGAATTGAAGACTTGAACAGTTTGATTGTTACTATCCGCAACAATGATTTTGTCACCGATAACATGTAACCCCTGTGGGTTTGTGAACTCTCCTTTGTTTCTGCCTTTCTCTCCAACTCTCATGATCAGATCATCCTCTATAGCATTGCTTCTTCTGTTTGATCCATGTGATCTTGAACTTGGTGGCCTCTTTGTTCCTTTCTGTTTCACATTCAAAGTTCTTGGAATTTTGGAGCTATTAAAATGGTCAATTTCTTCCCCTGCAAGAATGGCCTTGACTTTAAAAGGTGATCCTTTTATATGATGACCATAGAGTTTGATTGCCAAGGAATATGTGCCTACTTTTTCTACAGTGTATGTGACCTCATAGGATCCATTTTGTTTGTCCATCACAAAAGGATTGATGGCCATGTCATCTTCATCCCTGATTTCTGCTGACAGCGAGGCGTACCCTACCTTGACTAGTTCTCCTTTTCTGTCTTTAGATATCACAGTTACAGTTGTGGCTTTCCCTGAATGACACATTTTCAGTCCTTCTCCCGATGCAGTGGTCTCAAATGCTACAGCACTGTTGGTCTGGACAGCACCAACACTTGACAGGGACTTCCTCAGGGTCTGAAAATGAGTATGATCAAAGACTAGACATTCATTTTCTTCTGGCTGATACTGGAGCTTCAAAGAACCTAACTCCTTCAGTTTTTCAGACATTTCGGTTTTGATGAGTAGGATTTCTGTTTCACTCCCATGTTTCAAAGTTTCCTCGGTAAAGTCACAACAGTTTGTTATCTTACTATGGATACTTTCAAGTGTTTCTTTCTGTTCACAAAGTATTTGATGTTTGCGATTGTAAATTGTCTGTAGTTCAGCTAGTAAAGCTGTTTTCCGGACTTGTAACAGGTTACCAAGTTCCTCGAAAGCACTGAGTATTTTTTCCTCCGCAGAATTTTTCTCCAAATCCAGAGACCCCACCACATCGTTCACCAGATTAATGGATTCCTCTAAACATGGCACTTGTTCCCTGGCACCAGACACGAGAGTATGCAGGAGAATCTTTTGTTCCTGGATTGCATCGAAAAGTGGCACCGTTTTATGACCTATATGTTCGACAGCAGTGCAGTCCTCACACACTGCTGTTTCACAGGCTATACAGTAAAATCTTAAAGCATTACCATCATGATTGGGACACACTAACGTTGTATCAACCTCTGTTTCAGAACTCCGGGAAATGTCCGACAAAGCTACTACATTATGTTCTTTGGTTTGATCCAATGCTTGGTGAATACTGGTACAACTGTTACACAGAAATTCAGCACAGTCCATGCATTTGGTTGACGGCCTTGCCTGCTCGCGACTACAGGTTCGGCATATGTTGGGCTGATCAACAACCTCCATGAGGTTTGTTATGAAAAAGTTTGTCTGTAATGCTGATACACCTTGCAGTGGTAAAATTGATTGTTGTCTACAGATAGGGCAAGTTACAGAAAGACTCTCTGCTGGAATGTAATTTGCCAGACACTTTTGGCAGAAAGTGTGCAAGCAGGGCAAGACCTTTGGAGCCTTGTAACGCTCTAGGCATATCCCACAGTTCAACAACTGTCTGTCAATCTGGCGAACAACAGGAATGGAGTCCGCCATGGCGTAGATTTCCCCTCCATCAAAGGAGACCTGAAATTGAAAACCACAAAAGATGATCATGTCAACTTGTATCTCTGTGTTAAAAAATAACAAGAAAATTTTTATTGTCTCAGTTTACAAATACTTTTTTTCCAAGATATGATACTTTTCCAATTTTGAGCCTTAGTTGAAGCTCAATGATTTCATTCATCAGGACACAATTTTTTTTGTCATTTTTATAGAAAACTGAATTCTGGGATAAATCTATCAATATTTCAAACATTTATTTTATGTTCCACCAATGTTTTATATCTTTGTAAAACTTTGATTTATCATGTTTAATGACTCATGTTCAGAGAAATTCATCTTTTTTTAAACATGTTGTTAGGTACAAGCAATATAAAAGACATTAAATTTATAAAAGAAATTAAAGACAATTATTTTACTGACCCGCCCTTTTACATTAAAAACAAGAAACATTCAAATACAAGTTTTCTGCATTTCTATGGTGTTTAAAGTCTGATTATTCTTTTTTTTCTTTTGAAAGTACGCCCTCAACATTTTCTGAAAAGAAATAAACTGTATTTGCTGAGTTGCAGTAATTAGCCTCTGAGCGTATTCAAATCTAAAACTGAATACACCTCAAGTTTTCACAACCACTGCATTAATACACTCTTAGCAATGACTGGAATATTATATTTTTTAAAAAATGATTTAA